GCTCCTATTTGGCTGTTACATTAGCTGTGAGTTGCCATATAGCATCAAATTTGCTTTCTCAAAAAATGTGTATATACAAAAATTAATCCCCAAAATGTGGAATTAAGATTTGAAGAAACAGTCTCCATTCAGCTGTTTTGTTTGGTTTTATGTGTGTAGTTTAGTTTTGTTTTATTGAGACAAGTTTTCTCTATGTATATCAGCTAGATTTGAACCCTTTATGGAGCACAAAATTGCCCTAACCTCAAAGCAGCATTCCTGTCTCAGACTCTTGAGTGCTGGGATTATAGATCTGTGTGTTTTTACCCTAGAAAATATTGAGGCTTGTAACGTAGCTGTGTTGTAGGTTGGCTTAATAGATGCCGTACTGAGCTTTGCATTTAACTAGTGCCCTGTATTTCACTCAGAAAAATGGAAAATCACTCAGGGTATAAGTCCCAGGAGAAAAGCAAAATGAGCTGTACCCAAGGAAAAAAATTAACCTGCTCAACAAAAGAAGCGGAATACAGTTGTCATCCAAAAATTATTATAAGATTCTAGCTAAATGATTTCCAACTATCTTTTGATGATTCTATCTTTTAAAACATCTCTAACTTTCCAGTTCAGAGCCTCTTGTTTAGATCCTGAAATGGGGGTGGGGGTTCTGTATACAAGTGGTGCTGAGAGCAGCTAATGAAATTTCCCATTTCTCAATTGGGTTGCTTGGCTTCCTATATTATTGTTCACAAAATCACCTCAAGCTGCAGAAACCTTACTGACACAAGCAAACCTCAGGATTAAATATCAGTGCCCCTGAAATGAAAGAATAGTAGTGAAAAGGAGAAGAGAAAAAAGACAAACACCATGTGCTATAATGCCCACCTCTTTTCCCCAGCCATGAAGAAACTGAAACAGGAGAATGGCCATATATTCAAAGACAGCCTAACCTACATAGTGAGTGCAAGGCTTCCCAGAACTCCAAAGTGAGACTATGTCTTTAAATCAAAAACTAAAATGAAAAAAAAAAGCAACCAAGTAGACAGAAAAATTATTAAAAACAAACAATAATAGAGCTGAGTGAAATTTGAGTTATGTAAAATGGGAATTATTGAATGATGTTGCAGAGGAAAGAAGTCCATGTAGTGGCATCCAGGAGGCAGTGACAAACACAGACTTAGGAATGGCACCTATTGTGCTACAGGACAACAGTGACCTCCTTCCTCCAATACATTTGCAGTTCACTAGACTGAGGACTTCTAAAAGCTCATTGAAATGTTAAACTCAGGGCAAACAAGCAGCCTGAAATTCTGGCTTTGGAACAATGCCTTTAGCACACATTTCATATTTAAATTGAGATAAGAGAAATATAATCCTGCCCTGTTTGATATCAAATGCAGCAAGTTTAATGTCTCACAACATTGAGAAATGAAGTCATAAACCAAAAGAATTTCTAAAATTTGCTTAGAAAGAAAGAAAGAAGAATAGCCCTGAATTTTCAGGAGTGGTCTTCGGGTTTTTGGCCCAGACCTATTCTCAGGGGTCATTTATACAGGAAAGTCACAATGTGAGTACAGTGTGGGTCTCAGACTACAATCAACCTATAAGCTTATAGCTGCTTAACTAATAATATTCAACAGGGGAACAAGTCAGCCAGAAAACGTATGTGGAAAGAGACAAGGCATTTTGTGGGAACAATTTTCCAGTTGTTCTGGTCATTGAGTATGGTAATTGATGCCCATCTGAACTTCCTGGAGGAGGTAGTGGCAACTGTAGTACATTTCAAACTGTTGTTTTTCTCTTCAGGACCATGTAGACCTGGTCACTTCATCTTCACCTTTAGGTCTGGCTTTCTTCAGCTGTGCCTGTAGCAGTGATTGTTGTATTTAGTTTTTTGCATTAACTATTTGAGGTTCCAGTTCCTCTCTGATTGTATATCAATTTCTGTCTACCTTGACTTCCTTGGGTAAAATCACAGTTCTATTTGAATGAATAGAGTGAAATATTCATTAATACAGGCCAGGGATTTATCTTAGGAGGCTGAAACACCTGCCTGGAAAGTGCTAGGTTGTAGCTTTGATGCCTGGTACCTAAAAAAAAGTAATTTAAACTGCAAGGAAAGAAAATAATTTCATTTGTGAAAATGTAGATTTACAAAATTTATAACTAAATATGTCAATGGCAAATTAAACATTGTTAATAGTCATATTTTTAGTATCTAAAGTAGTTGGGTCTGGAGATTGAACTCAAGGATATAATTAGCTCCTGGAGAGCACAAGGTCATGAGTTCAATCCCTCATACAGAAAAAAAACCACAATTGTCAACGATGCAGTGCTATGAGCACATTTATTGAAACTGATACTTGGTATTTAATAGGCTCAGTGTTTCTTTTGTGGCCTATGAAATACCTGCAGATAACATGTCTATTACAGTGAATGATATACTGTGCCTTACAGGATTGCTATTTTCTGAGTTAGTTTTATTTTTTGTTTTCCCACATACTTGAAAGTTGAAAAGGTTGGCTGGTGCTAGGTAGAAATCTGTGCTTATCATTTTTTCAATTTAATGATATATATCCGTATATTCATTAAGAACATTTTATTTGCTACAGTTAGTCCAAGTCAAATTGATAAACAATTCTTAAATTTACAGGCAGCTGAGTTAGTTAGAAATAGAGGCAACCATACCATGATATAGTGGAATGAAATTCCTTACCTTCTATTGTTAGGGCCGACGCCGCAGGGAAAGAGACCCCAAGGACCCAACTCTTGGTGAGGGAAAAAAAGTTTATTTCCATGCGCATGGGGTCCTCCAGGCAAACGAGTGCGGAGGGCCACGAGGGGAATTTGTGCAGGGTTTTTGAGGGCACAAGCGGGAAGCAAGCAAGTTTACAGAAGCAGATCGCATTGGTTAATTTGAACGGCGCAGGACTTGGCAGATGCTGATTCGAGGGATCTAGGGCTGAGTAACCATGGAGACAGAGAATCCTGGTCTAATCTAGCACATTCCTTTACTTATCTTTATCTTTACAGAGGACAGATCACCTTGTGTTTAGAGGACAGATCACCTTGTGGTTAATGACTAGCAGATGTATTCCTTCCTGTCCTGCCCCGATATCTCAAGGAGGATTTAGGGAGTGGAGCATTCCTTACTGCTCTGTTCTACAGCTGGGGGGGGAGGAGGGGGTTACATTACAAACGGGGAGTCGATTCTCTCATTCCCCCCCTTTTTTTTTGCAAATGACTTTAATCTTAAAGGTCCTGTATGGGTAAGGGATCATATTGTTGACGTAGCACCATAACTTTTACTTGAGAAATCTGGGCCCTCACAAACCAGGTTACTCGGTTAATGAGGCAAGGGGCTATAGTCATGACTATAATGAATACGGCCAGGGGTCCCAATAAAGGGAGAATATAGGGCAGGATTGATTCCCAGAAAGAGAACACTTTGGCTTCACTTGAAGGGGGCTCTCGAGATCTGATTCTCTCTCTCAGCTTTTCCATTGCATCTTTTACAATCCCAGTATGATCGATGTAAAAACAACATTCTTCTCTAAGCGCGGCACAGAGACCCCCTTCCTTTAAAAACAAAAGGTCTAAGCCCCTCCTATTTTGTAATACTACTTCAGATAGAGACGAGAGAGATTGTTGCAATGCAGTTATAGATGTCTCTAGGGCCCGTAAATCCTGGTTTACAACTGCAAGGAGTTGCTGGCGGGACTGGTGCCCGGTAATGAGAGCCGCTGTACCGGTCCCTATCCCCCCTGCTACACCTATCCCTAACAACACTGCCAGGGTTAAGGAGACTGGTTCCCGTTTATATCGACCTTTTATAAGGGGGAGCATGTCAGGGGGGAGATACTTAATGCGTGGCAGAAGATCTATAAGGATACAGGAACTGTCCCCTGCAAGGAGTACATTTGTGGAAACGCAAGGGGTGAGCCCAGTAGTACACAACCAGAATGCCCCGGTAGGAGGGATGAGGTACTGGTTTCTGGGAAAGGAGCGGGTATATGTGAGGCAGCGATGGGGTAGGTCTGCCGGCCAATTATCAAGTGCCCCTATGCAGGTTCCTCGGCTAGCGAGGCCAGGTAAAGGAAGGGTGTGGAACACGTGATCCCAATCGCACTGGTCGGAATTGGGGGTCAGCATATAGGAATCATTTAGGGCAGTCCCCTCATAATATGGAGGGTTAGCACTTAGACATAACCAACAAGCTTGGGCCAGGTCTGGATGAGTAAGATTAAGGGCTTTATGAGCCCCAAGTATAAGGCTAAGAAGGGAGCTCACGGTTGGAGGGACGAGTCCTGACTCAGGAGGATTTTGGGTAGCCTTGGGCCCCGGAGATGAAAGTCTTTTGGCAGTTGTTAGAGCCAGTGGCGGCGGGGATGGCTTTATCTCCGGTTTTAATTCCTTTTTAATAAACAAGTATCCCCCTGAGTCTTTCCCATTTTGATAATATCTAAATCCCCAAGTTTTTCCTGTGATCCATGAAGGCTCTTGGGGGGTGAGGACCGTGAGTTGTAGGTATAGGCAGGGTCCAGGTCCCTGGCTCGACTCGGTGTCCCAAGCCCCACCATAACAAGTGGGGGGCTTTGGGCGAGCTCCAGTCAACCTTGAAAGACTAATGTGTTGGTCCCTTATGGTGGGTGTCCACGCAGTGGCCACTGTCTCACATCCCCAATAAGCACAGTAATACTCTCCTGGGGAGTTACAATAGGTTCTCCCCTCCACTGAAGTTGGGCATAGGTAAACACCCTGAGATGGATCCATACAGGGGGCTTGAGGGACAATATCGCAGGAAAAGAAGGCAAAAGTGGGGTTACCTGATCCTTCCCACTTGCCGACCACCTCTTGGTTGTCCCACTTAATCAATGACCAGATCCAAGGGTGGTGGGGGTTAGCTATTGTAGGGGTGACTAACACTAACATGAGTAATTTCATTATAGCCCAGGGGGTTACAATCTGGGGTTTTTGCTGGGTCATCTTGCAATAATACACAAGGGGAGTGTACAGAAACAGCATCAAAGAGTCTTTCGGCTCAGTTTAAGTTTCAAGGGGTTATCAGACCGTTTGAGTTCCCAGGAGCCGTCCTCTGGCGCTGAAGCAGGCTTTAGATGTGACGCGTGGATCCAGGAGGCGACTCCGTCAACCTTTACCGCTGTAGGAGTAGTTAACAGGACCTGGTATGGTCCTTTCCAGCGAGGCTGCAGAGTTTCTTGTTGGTGGCGCCGGACGAACACAAAGTCTCCCACCTGGTACGGATGTGGCGCGGGGAACTCACTGGGGGCGTAGGCCGAGGCTAGCTGCGTCCACACGTCCCTCTGTAGATTGTCGAGGGCGATGGGCCTGTCAGACAGGGAGGTTGGCAACAAGGCAGCATGTTCAGTTAAGGGAGTGAGATCTCGAATGGGGGGTGGAGTGCCAAAGAGGATCTCGAAGGGAGTAAGGTTAGGGGGTTTGGCAGACGGGGTGTTTCGCGCGCGGAAAAGGGCATAAGGCAGGAGCATCGTCCAATCTTTTAAGCCAGTCTCATGAGCCAATTTAGTGAGGGTCTCCTTAATAGTTCTATTCATTCTTTCTACCTGTCCTGAACTTTGGGGTCTATAAGCACAATGTAACTTCCAATCAATCCCCAATATGTTGGCCAGCCCCTGACTTACCTTAGCCACAAACGCCGGCCCATTATCGGACCCTATTACCTTTGGCAATCCGAACCGAGGAAAAATTTCTTCCATCAACTTTTTCGTTACCATGGCAGCAGTTTCCTTTTTGGTAGGAAAAGCCTCAGTCCATCCAGAAAAGGTGTCCACAAAAACTAGCAGATATTTTAGTCCACATCGGGCAGGTTTAACTTCTGTAAAGTCTACTTCCCAGTATTGTCCAGGCCGGGTACCGCGTAGCCTTTTGCCGGGGGCCAGCTTGGCAGGGTAGGCGTTGGTCAATTGACATGCCTCACAATTAGTCACAACCCAAGTGGCGACCTGACGTATGGCAGTGGGGGAGGCCCCCGGGAAGTCCTGGCGTTGGGCCAGTAGGCACAGCTTTTTAACCCCCAAATGAGTGAGCCGGTGGGCCTGTTGTATGTAAGTAGTCAGGTCAGATGCCTCAGGGGTTTGGTTAATCTGAGCTTTCTCTTTGGGAAGAGAATCTTTGATATCAGTCACCAACATCTGTGAGCCTCCCATGGCTGCAGATTTTGCTGCCTGGTCGGCCAGGTTGTTTCCCCTTGTGACGGGATCAGTCCCTTTTTGGTGGCTGTTACAGTGTATTATTGCCACCTTCTTGGGTAACATGATTGCAGCCAGCAATTGAAGGATTTCCTGTTTGTGTTTTATTTCTTTGCCCGCGGAGGTCAAAAGTCCCCGCTGGCGGTAGATGGCCCCATGGATGTGGGCCGTTGCAAAAGCATATCGGCTGTCCGTGTAAATGTTTGCTCGCTTTCCTTTGGCGAGCTCCAGAGCCTTAGTTAAAGCGATCAACTCGGCCTTTTGGGCCGAGGACCCGTCCTCTAGCCTGGCTGTCCAGATAACACTGGAGTGATCGGTCACAGCCGCCCCCGCATACCGCTTACCTTGAATCAAGAAGCTACTCCCGTCAGTGAAGTAAGTCACCTCCGCATCAGACAGGGGGTAATCCAATAAGTCCGGTCGTACTCCGGCCTCTCCCGCCAGGATGTCTTGGCAGGTATGGAGGATGGGTTCTGGAGCTTCGTCCGGCAGCAAGGTTGCCGGGTTGAGAGTCACCGGGGGTCCGAAAGTTATTTTGTCCTTGTTGAGTAAGAGACTCTGATAATGAGTAACTCTGGCATTTGAGAGCCATCTGTCCGGAGGTTGGTGGATGATACTTTCTAGCGTATGCGGGGCAATGATTGTTATTTTCTGTCCCAAAGTCAATTTGTCAGCATCCTTAATGAGCAAGGCAGCCGCTGCAATGGCTTTTAAGCAGGGCGGCCATCCGCTCGCCACAGTGTCCAGTCTTTTTGAGAGGTAAGCCACCGGACGTCTCCATGGCCCAAAGGCCTGGGTTAGTACTCCTCTCGCTATTCCTTCCTTCTCTTCAATGAAGAGAGTAAAGGGTTTGTCCACATTAGGAAGGGCCAGGGCCGGAGCAGATAGGAGGGCCCGCTTGATGGCATCAAAGGCCTGCTGGTGGTCTTTTTCCCAAACAAAGGGAGATCCCCCCTTCAGTAACGGGTACAGGGGAGCTGCCAAGGTCGCGAACCCAGGGATCCACAACCGGCAGAACCCCGCGGTGCCCAGGAACTCCTGTAATTGTTTTTGGCTCTTGGGAGGGGGAATCTGGACCACAGTCTGCTTTCTAGCCTCAGTGAGCCATCTCTTCCCCTCTTTTAAGGAGTAGCCCAGGAAAATTACCTCTCGTTTGCAAATTTGAGCCTTTTTCGCCGATGCCCTATATCCCAAGATAGCCAACTCACGTAAAAGGTCCTGAGTTCCACTGGTACAGTCACCCTCGGAGTCCGCAGCCAGCAGCAAGTCATCTACATATTGGAGGAGGGTGAGGTTCGGGTGTTGAGCCCGAAAGGGGGCTAAATCCTTGTGTAGAGCCTCATCAAAGATGGTTGGGCTATTTTTGAAGCCCTGTGGGAGGCGCGTCCAGGTCAGTTGTCCGGTGGACCCAGTCTCGGGGTCCGTCCATTCAAACGCAAACAAGGGCTGGCTATCTTTGTGCAAAGGCAAACAGAAAAAGGCATCCTTTAAATCCAGAACAGTGTACCAAGTCCTTGACGGATTCAAACCGCTGAGGAGATTATAAGGATTGGGTACGGTGGGGTGAATGTCCTCCACCCTGCTGTTGACCTCCCTCAAGTCCTGTACCGGTCTGTAGTCATTTGCCCCAGGCTTTCTGACAGGGAGCAGTGGGGTATTCCATGCAGACCGAAAAGGAGTCAATACCCCTTGGTCTAAAAGTCTCTGTATGTGTACCTTGATTCCCAAGTGAGCTTCTCTATTAATGGGATATTGTTTAACTCGAATAGGGGAGGCGGTGGCTTTTAGAGTTACCACTACAGGCAGTTGCTGGCTTGCCAGCCCGAGCCCAGCTGTCTCGGCCCAGGAGTCTTTAAAATCAGTTAGCCAGGCAGGGGCGATGGGCTGGGGGTCTCGGTGGTCATAGAGCCTATATTCATCTTCCAATTTTAGAGATAACACTGTAACCATGGGTTGCCCAACCTTTGGGTTACGGAATGTCACCTGAGGTCCTTGGGGCTCAAAGGAGATTTTCGCCCCCAGTTTGGTTAATAAGTCTCGTCCCAGGAGGGGAGCAGGGCATTCAGGAATAACCAGGAAGGAGTGTTTTACTTTTCCTTTGCCTAGGTCAACTGTGCGCTCGGTGGTCCACGAGCGATATTTGCTCCCGTTAGCCCCTTGAACTAGAGATTTCTTAGTTGAAAGGGCCCCTAAGGGGGCCTGAAGAGCCGAGTAAACAGCTCCCGTATCGACCTCGAACTCTACGGGAGTCCCCTCCACTTTAAACATTACCCTGAGCTCGGGGAGGGGGTCCGAGCCCCGAAGTCCCTAGTCCTCCTCATCTAAGGCGAGCATGGGGGCTCGGGGCCACTGCGAGGACCATTTTTCTCGTTCCTCTCTGGCTCGTTTCTTTCTCAATCTCTCACAGTCTTTGATCAGGTGTCCTTTTTCCTTACAATATGCACATTGGTCAGGGTCTAATGGGGGGCGAGTGGGCTTTCCCTTTCCTGTCTCAGGTTTTCCCTGAATAACTGTGGCCAACATTTTAGCTAGTTCCTTGCTTCGTCTTTTGTCCCTAGCTAACTCTTTTTCCTCTTCTGTCTCCCGTTTATAGTAGACTTTTTCAGCTTCCTTAACAAGATCCCTCAGAGTTAGGTCTTGCAGACCATCTAGCCTTTGGAGCTTACGTCTTATATCAGGAGCTGATTGCCCTATGAAGGCCATGGCTATTGAGCCCTGTCGGCCTTCCTCTTCAGGGTTAAAAGGCGTGTACCGCCGGTAAGCTTCCATCAGGCGTTCCAGAAAAACTGAGGGAGTCTCAGTAGGCCCTTGGGTAACTTCCCTTACCTTGGCCAAATTAGTGGGGCGCCTTGCGGCCGCCTGGACACCTGCCATTAGAGTCTGGCGATAGATAGAAAGATGCTGCCTATCGGTAGGTGAGTTGGGGTCCCAGTTGGGGCGTTTTAAGGGGAAGAAATCATCAATCAGGTCTGGTCTCTGGGTGGGTCTGCCGTTTTCTCCGGGAACAGCTTTCCGGGCTTCCAGAAGGATGCGGTCTCTCTCCTCGGTGGTGAACAGGACCCCTAGAAGCTGCTGGCAGTCATCCCATGTGGGTTGGTGGGAGAACATGATAGAATCCATTAAACCTGTTAACTTAGACGGATCATCAGAGAAGGGAGGGTTATTGTTTTTCCAGTTATAGAGATCTGAGGTAGAAAAAGGCCAGTACTGTAAAGCGGGCATCTGCCCTCCATCCGACCCGTCATCTATCATGGGCCCGTAGGGGCGAAGGGGAAGGGTAACAACTGGGTCCTCAGGCCATAGCTTGCTTCGAGTGTTCTGGGCAGGGCCTGTGGGCCCCGGAGGTGTAGACCCAGAGCAAGCCATCATAGGGAGCGGGGGATACAGAGGGGACGTGGGTATCGGAGGAGAAGAGGGGTTCGGTTCAGGTGAAGAGGGTGCTGAAGGAGAAGGAGCGCTCGATCCGGACGAGGAGGCTGGAGGAGAGAGTGGGTACGGAGGAGGTTGAGCCAGCTGGGAGGGAGGAGTCCGGTCATAGTCCAGCAAAGGTAGATCAGGCTGAGACTCGGGCAGGACCGGAGCCGGAGCGGAAGCGGGAGGTCCTTTCAGAGCTAAGAGTTTTGGTATAGAGGAGTCAGAAGGGGGAAGAAAGGGTTTCACCCACAGTGGGGGTTCCTCCCTGAGGTCCTGCCATACTAGGATGTAAGCGACCTGATTAGGGTGGCCCCCTTGTCCGGGGCGGAAGATGATGTTCTTAACCGCTAGGATGAGGGGCAGGTGGAAAGTCCCCTCCGGCGGCCATCCCACTGAAAAAGTGGGCCACTCAGTCGAGCAGAAATTCTGCCATTTACTCTTCTTGACCTGCAAGGAGAGATTGTGAGCCCTCTTCCGCACCTCCGACCAATGGTCGAGGGTGAGGGACAATGGGGATGAGGTCGACTGTCCCATGATGTTCTATAGTCAAAGGGCGGTTAACGCAAGCGCGATACAACAAATAACCAATCACAACACCCACAACACACAGGACAAACAGGCCGGCCACCTCACTCTCACGAATTAGTTTCACACCAAACGAGTCACCTTAGGGGGTGCCTCCAGATTGGCCCGGATGGACCACAGATTGGGAATGAAATTCCCCAAATGAGTCACCTCAGAGGGTGTCTCCGAATTGGCCCGGACGGACCACAGATTGGGCCCCAAACCGATAGGAAAATCCTATCGCAAACGGTGAGTCACGGAAAACCGTGTGGGGCGTCCCCCGGTCACCAGAGAACAGAGAACAGATAACAAATAACAAAAACTGGTAACAAAAATTGCCCCTAGGTCGGAGCCGTATGGCTCGGGGCGTAAAATACCGGTAGATTGATCCTCAGAGTAAAAATAAGAAGCGACCGGTCGTACTCACCCACCGCAGAGCCGTTGAGGTCACCTACCGTGAGGCGTGCAATCTCGCTGGGGCCTCCAAGATGTTAGGGCCGACGCCGCAGGGAAAGAGACCCCAAGGACCCAACTCTTGGTGAGGGAAAAAAAGTTTATTTCCATGCGCATGGGGTCCTCCAGGCAAACGAGTGCGGAGGGCCACGAGGGGAATTTGTGCAGGGTTTTTGAGGGCACAAGCGGGAAGCAAGCAAGTTTACAGAAGCAGATCGCATTGGTTAATTTGAACGGCGCAGGACTTGGCAGATGCTGATTCGAGGGATCTAGGGCTGAGTAACCATGGAGACAGAGAATCCTGGTCTAATCTAGCACATTCCTTTACTTATCTTTATCTTTACAGAGGACAGATCACCTTGTGGTTAGAGGACAGATCACCTTGTGGTTAATGACTAGCAGATGCATTCCTTCCTGTCCTGCCCCGATATCTCAAGGAGGATTTAGGGAGTGGAGCATTCCTTACTGCTCTGTTCTACAGCTGGGGGGGGAGGAGGGGGTTACATTACAAACGGGGAGTCGATTCTCTCACTATGTCTGGTATTAGTTTGCATTCTCTAAAATGCAAGAATGAATTTTAGAAACAAGAGTGTTGAAAAGCGGAATATATTTATTGAGAGAAAGAAAGTGAAAGTATTTTGCTCTAAATAGGATATTTTGGAAGTGGGAGGTGAAACCAGGGGACTTTTACCTTGAAGTCACTTTCCTCTCCCTTATTCAAACTACCTGTGGCCAGAAAAGAATCTCAATCAGCTACTTGCATATCAGCAATGCCAGCTTTAAGCAGCACCCATGTCAAAATTATATGTATGCAGCCCACACATTTCCAGAAAAAAAAGTCTGACCCCCTATGGTCATGGGGTTCTCTCCATGGTCTTAGAATCAAGGCCATTTTGACTTTATATTCTCTTCTTTACTACAACAAAAATCCTATCAGAAAGCTTCTGTCTGAGAGAAAAAGAGGGATTCTGAGCCAGTCGCAAAGGATTCTGATTTTATAGAAGAAAATCATGTGGTGAGTGTGATGGCTCAGACCCCAACATAAAACCCAAGGAAGCAAGAAATTAAAATTTGGGGAGCAAAGGCTTGATTGTAGGACAGGCCAGGTGATGCAATCTCAGGGAGCCAATTTGGAGACTGTGTGCCTTACAGCTAAAAAGGTTGGGTTTTAAAGGTGAAATCCACAGGAATGTTGTGAACTTTGACCCAGTTTGATAACTTTCTTGTAGTTAAACATTTCTTAGGGACAGTACATTGTATTGCAGATAGGCTGAAGGGGTGGGGGATTACAAGAAACTGAAACTTAAAGCTTTTATGGGAAATGGAGACTTAACCTAAGAATTGGGGAGGGGAGGGGAATTTACCAGGAGCTGAAACTTAAGTCTTTACTGGAGATGGAATTTTAGTCTCTATTGAAATGGGGCATATAGAACAGGAAGGGGGCACATTGGTTAGAACTAGGTTACAACAGTGAGATAGGTTTAAAGTGGGTTAGATTACTGAGGTTACTGAGGAGGTAATTGAGCACAATAGAGAAGCAGAATATAAGAAATGTAAAAGTGGCCTTTTATTTAAAGAATGTGGAGAGGAGCCGGCAGCCCCCAAGGGTTTGGCTCCCCTCCTGCTGGACTAACTATGGGGTTATGTGGTTGTGATAACTCAGACCCCAGAATAAAATGCAAGGAGCAAGAAATTAAAATTTAGGGAGTAAATGTTTTATTTTAGGCCAGGCCTGGCAAGGAGTCACCAGGAGCCAATTTGGAGACTGGGCATCTGACAGAAAAAAGTCAGGGCTTCTATCTTGTACATCCACAAACAGCTGCTGGTCTCACAATGCAAGGAGGGGGATGGGGTGTGGTACACTACAAAACAGAAACATGGTGCCTTCCATTTCATGGGAAGAGCAAGATTCAGGTAACAAGCATGTTTTCCTGTAAACAAGCAAGTTTAGATAAGAAGAAATCCTGTTTTCCTCTGGAGAGACTAGAAGTCTAGCAGTGATTAACAACTTCTGTTAGCTTATCTTAGCATTACATCTGTTATTTGTAGAGGGCAACAATGGTTAACATATCAATTAGGTAAGATTTTACAATTCTTTACAGAGGAGAGCATTGATTAACATATTAATTAGATCATCCAGAGGGGGAAGGGAAAACACATATACAGTAAGGCCAAGTTACAGGTGTTGGTATGATACAAAAATAATGAAGCTATTTTTCTAGACTACAATAGAGGTATATGTGACTTTTGAGTGAATGTGTGCTTGGAGGGGACATTGATGTCATGCAAGGAGGTAATGGGAATTTTCTTTAGGGCCCTGGGAAAGAAAGAGGAAGTTGTAATCAAGGAAAAAAGAGGAAGTGGCCATATGAGTAAGCATCCCTGATTTTGGCTTCTTCCACCTTGAACTACCACCAAGAGGTTCTGTAATAGTTTCTAGGGCAAAACTCTTTCAAGTACATCCTTCAGTTTCAAGGAAGAAATCAAAACAAAGAATTTTTGCCACCTGTCTTCCTCTATGGCTAGTAGTAAACCATTCATAAGAAATACTGTTAGTCATTTCCTTAATGCATTGTAGATACCATCACCAAAATTACAGAACATTTCGCTTTCAGAAAACAAAAGTAGCACTTAAAGTCAGGGATAAACCCTTCAGTGCAAGCACCCCTGGAAAGGTGAGATCAACATTGTAGAATACAAACTACTACTGATTTATCTGACTTCAGGAAAGAGAAAAATTTATAATGATATTGCTATAGAGTAATAAATCTCCCAGTCTAATATGTCTGGTATGAGTTTGTGTTCTCTAAAGTCAAAGAAAGAATTTTAGGAACAACAGAAATTAAGAGCACAATATACTTCTTGAGAGAAAGAAAGCTACCTGAGAGAGAGAAGGGGTCCTGAGCGGGATGCCAAATACTGTCTTTCTAGGGAACTTTATACAGTAAAATTATGTGGTAAGATGAGTTTAAGGTGGGGAAAAATTGGAAGTCACAACGCAGATGGGCATAAGACGGGACAGAGCTATGGTAGCCAGTAAGATTATAAGTTCATGTAAAAGTTGATTAAATTGGGAACAAAGGGGGAAGGGAGTCACATAGAAAGCAGGCATTCTTAGGCAGCAGTGATTTTTCCCTTAGGGTTTTGGGAGGGTGACTCCTGAGTTCATCAGGATGATAGGAAATATTTAAAATTTCAGTCCTTCGGATAAGCATACTTTTCTTTGAATGGTGACTACTGACCTCCTCAGAGTGCTATGGGACTATTTAGAATATAAGTCTTTAGGATATGTATGAATTTGCTTATCATTTGTCTTGAGACTTGGCCCATAGCATGAGGTGTCAGTCTTCCCCATAGTTGCATGGTATCTCCTCTCCTGCATGGACTCCATGGAGGACATAGCCCTGCCTTATGCCAATACTATTTAAATAACTCAGGTGCCTGTAACAGTACTGTTTGGATAATTGATTACAGATGTCTTGTGCTCTGGGTGAATGATCTGGGGATTACAGTGTGCAATGTATATACCAGTGTTGCCCCTGATTGACATGTTTTGAAATTTAATTTTAGTTGATGTGTTCTTTTTTCACTGAAATAGAATGGATTTGAAAATTAAAAGATGGAGGTAAAGCTCTTCAGTACAAACACTCCTCTGGTCAAGCTGTGATCACCACTGTAGAAGAATGGCAGCTCCAGAAGTCTCTGCACTACAGTCTATCATTTGGGATCCTCTCTTTCAGGGAGGGGTTCCTTTCCCTGTAGATTCTTGACTCAGAAGGAGAGCAGTAGAGCAGGAGTCAATCAGTGATGAAGGGGCAGGCTATGTGAACAGTCCAATTTTCAGGCCATTGCTGGCTGTGTCTTTTGTCTCTTCCGGTGTCTCAGCATGATTTACCTTTTCTGAGTGGGATACTGGTAGCAAAACACTTGCTTCATCTCATTTAGCACTTTTGATGTCCTGTGGCCTGATTAGCAAAGAACCTGAGAGATCCTGGAGCCATGGAATGGTGAGGTTGTAGATGGGAGCCCAGATATAGGGTGGATTTGGTGAAACCAGTTACAAGTATTTAGAAGTAAATCAAGTGTCTGGAGCCTCAGGTATTTAGTTAGCTTCAGCTCCTGAGGTCCTGCAGCATTGGCCATGGGTCTCTCACTGTCCCTTTTGCCTCTTGCTGTTGGCAAGGGTGATTTGGGGTCCCCAGAACCCTGGCTTTACTATGACAGCATCAGACTCAAGTATCATCTTTGAAATTCACTGCTGGTCTGGTAACTCCACGATCTTAGGCATTGGAAGGAGCTTGAGAAGACAATGACTATGATGCTTTTTGCAGCTTGTAGAGCAGTAATGAGCTAGGTCTCTGCTCTCTATTTCTCAGAGTAGCTGATCTGGAATGTCCAAAGTTTATTAATGTCTGTAATACAGGGCCTCATAGCCACAATGGCTCAACTTAAACTTGGGCTTTTTGGTATTTATAGTGATCTCCTCAATTTATAGTATGTTCTCATATTTCCATCCT